CTCGGTCACCTTCGAGAGCAGCCAGGCGGCCCATCTCGCGGCGCCCGCGGTGCTGCCTGAGCGCCTCAAGGCTTCTGGTGCTTCGGTGCACAGGGCTTCCCACGCAAACAGCTGGAAAAGTGCCTCTAAAGCTACATGGTGTTTTGTTGTTGGGCATAGCCTCACTGTCTGGTGCCCAGCGCACTCTTGACAAAACGTGAAGCTGGGTCGGCACACCCGCTGAACTTGAGCAGATACGTCAGCGGACCCTCCTGCCCAGGGAGTCTGCTAGGGCTCCCAACTTCGCGCTTCGCGCTGCGCGAAGCGCGAAGCGCGAATAACTTCGCGCTCTCGCGCCGCCCCCCAAGGGGGAGAAGAGGAGGACGAGGAGGAGGGGGAGAAGGAACGAGGACCGCGAAGCGCGAAGCGCGAATAACTTCGCGCCCTCGAGGGAGCCCTTGGAGTCTGCAGCCTGGTGGCCTGGTCGACCCCCCGACCTGTCCTGTGGGGTGCGCTCCGACCAGGACTTCGAGGAGGATCCGCCCGTGCCGACGCATGGCATCCAGGAGGCCCAGAGCCGAAAAAATACCGCGTTCCTGCTGAGCCCATTTGGACGCCCGAATTGGGTACGGCAGGTTCGTGTCGTGTCGACCCCAGCGTTGGTTTTTGACACCGCGGGGATCGTTCAACCTTGAACGATCGGCCCTTTCCGAGACGTGCGATCCTTCAACATCGACCGATTCTGGGTCGCTGGCGGCGTTCAACCTTGAACGCCCACGCTGGGGTCGCCGCCGGTCGACACGACACGAACCTACCGTACGGAAAGAATGGCTGCAGTGCCCAACAACAAATGTTGTCCCACACCAAGAGCGACCGCTGTTGGGCAGGCGGCCTTCTCTCAAATGGACACAGGCCGCGGCGGCGTGGACAGCGAGTCCTGTTCAAAATGAACAGGATCCGCTGTTGGGCATTGTACCCATTCGTTCCGTGCCCATCTCGTTGGTGCAGATTCCATGCCATCCCTCCCCCTCCGTCTTGCCAAAGGACAACGTCCTGGACCCCAGGCCCGGTTCCGCCGCGGTGATCACTCCTCCCCCTCCGCTCCCTCCTCACTGCCAGGGGGAGCCTGCAGCTTGATGACCTGGTCAATGATACCGTAGCTTTTCGCCGTCTCGGCGTCCATGAAGTTGTCGCGCTGCAAGTCCTCGCTGATCTTGGCCTCATCCTATGAGCGCCGAACGGCGAAGGTTATCCTCTCTTCCTCCTCCCACCTGCCCCATCTCGCGCGCTCCCATTCCCTTTTTCCCAATCTCCTGCCTCCTCCGGTACCCTCCCATCGCGACCGTTGGGCTGGGCAGGAATACGGAGGGAAGAGTGGCCGCAAGAGAAAGGCACGGACACACGAAGAAGAGGATAAGCAGGAAGCGGGAGGGGTGCGGAGGGAGGAATGGGCAGGAGGCAAGAAAAGCAGGAGGGATGGAGGATCTGAGATTAGGCGAGCGAGCGGTCAGAAGCCAGGCTCAAAGGTCATCGGGGCCATCCGAGCACCCCATCCGAGGCGTCGGAAAGAGCCGATGGCTCGCCCAAATCGGCAACGCCTTCCTCAGCGTCCCGATTGAGGAAGCGTGGTCGTCCCAGGGCCCCCCCCCGCTGGGAGGTTTGCCCCAACGACACGCAAGCTCGGGAATCGCACCCAACGGAGAGTCCTACCCCCGAAGCGAACTAGAGCCATTCGAACCCGCACTCTCTTGAGCCTACATGCTGGGCGCAAACATCCCTTGCATCCGTTTGCAGATCTCGCGAGGGCAAAGCCCCTTGCGGGCGCTCCAGCACAAGGCCTTCTACCCCAATTCGTTCGCGCGGCCATGCTTGGGCCTTGATACAGGTGGAGCTGCTTCACCAGCCCCGACCCAGCCTTGCCCCCCAGGCATAGCTTGACCAGCGCTCGGGTAGGCTTGTGCCCGCGGAAGCAGGCACCACACGCGCATCAACATCATAGGTTGTCGTTTTCGCCGAGGCCATGTTATGCAACTGCCTTCGCGTACAGCACAGGATGGCTAGTGAAATTGCCACCCACTGCGCACAACTCTTCCCAGCCCTCGGCGGCCTCTTGGATGGTTGGCTGCGCAGAGGGAGAATCGCATCGCCCGCTTCGGGGGGAAGTAAAACGTCAGTAAGCCATACGCCCATTGGCGCGTGAGCGGAGGAAAGCAGGGCGCATTACGATTTTGAAACAGACAATGCACGAGCCACTGCGCGTCACGGCGTCACGTCGTCACGTGGCTGCAGAATCAGTCGCAAAGAAACCCGCAACGAAACGGCACCGTTGTTGACTGTCGAAGACTGCGAATCTTAGCCTGGGACGCCCAGGCCTCCTCGCGAGAACCGGTGATCGGTCTCATGCCGCCTAGTTGGAAAGGGATCTTGAGGACGTCAGTGTCGCTGCTGCGGCCAAGCTTCCCAAACCACATAAGCTGATGCTGGGGAAGCTGGACACTGCAAGGTGCAGCCGCCACCTGTTGTAGCGCACTTTTGTTGGATACCCTTGAAATCCAAGGATAAGGAGCAGTCATGATATATCGAAGACACCGCGCGCCAGGAATCTTCGTCGGTAGCTCCTGTGCGCCAAGCAGAATTCAAATAATACATAACCTGAGTCGTTACCAGTGCCCCGAGTACGTTCAGCTTTCGCTCTGTACTAGTGAACGTGAGCTTCCAAACCCTTGCGTATTCTGCGATTCCCCCAAGCACCCCCAAAATCTTTTGACCAGCTTTTGCTTCATGTTGATGGACCTGTGGATCGATGCCCCCAAGAATCTAATTTGTTGTTGCCAGAATGATGTTACCACTTGGGTCCAACAGGTGGATGTCGCAGCCTGTTGTATAAGTTGAAATTTACCCCAATGAAGTTCCATTCCCACTTCTGCTCCTGCCTGTGCAATTGCGTTCAACGGATGTTGTAGTCGACCTTCATGGCGCCCAACCAAAAAGAGTGCTGCCAGCGTACAAAAGAACAGACGCATCCCCCGCAGCAAAGTGCGTTTTCAGACTCCTCGTCCAACTCGTCTTCTGCGTTTTGCATAATCACACTCGACACGATCACGAACAGGAGCGGCGGAGGGTAAGAGGAGCAAGTGAAAGTTCTCCGGGTGTCGTGTCAGACGACACGTGATCAAGAAACTCAAGGAGGGGAGAAGCTGTACCCCCTCTTCGGTCCTCCTCCTCCTCCTCCTTTCCCCGCTCCTTCCCCTCCTTCCACATCCTTCCATTGTGAACACGCCATCGGGGATTCGCGAGAGAAGGCTGAACATAAATTATCCAGAAGCGGAAAGCCATGTTGGGGACATCACCAGGAGTCTTTCAATTGACTCCTTTTCGTCATCTGTTTCCCTCCTCGTATTCAATTCTGTCCACCTCGCCCTCCCCCTCCTCCTCCTCCTCCTCCTCCTCCTCCTCCTCCTCCTCCTCCTCCTCCTCCTCGTCCTCCTCCTCGTCCTCCTCCTCCTCCTCCTCCTCCTCCTCCTCCTTTCCTCCCCTCCTCCTCCTCCTCCTCCTCCTCCTCCTTCCTCCTCCTCCTCCTCCTCCTCCTCCTCCTCCTCTCCTCCTCCTCCTCCTCCTCTCCTCCTCCTCCTCCTCCTCCTCCTCCTCCTCCTCCTCCTCCTCTTCGTGTTCCCCATCCTCCCCGTCCTCCCTTAAAAAAAACGCCACTGTCGCACCGCCAGGGTGTTTCGCCTGAGACTTCCTCGCAGTGTAACATGTTGACGCTCGAAGTTGCCAACAAGTACTCTCGCCTTGGTGCCTCGCAGACCCGTGTTACATTAGTGACACGCATACGCACAACAGCTATACAGCTACACGGACTGACGGCGAAACGTTTTGGACACTGGGCTCTCGCCTTGGCGCCGCGCGCGCTCGTCTTGAACACCCCCGACAGCTGCACGGATGGAGGGCGATTTGTGTTCATGGTGATGCTCTCGCCTTGGAGCCGCGGGCACGCCTCTTAGACTATTCCAACAGCTGCTCGGGTGGAGCGCGGCGCCTTCTCAAAACGGGGCTATCGCCAGAGGCTTCCCCATACATCCGTTGCCACGCAGATGCGGTCGTACAGCAGCTGCACCGCTTCTTCTTCAGGCTACGGATCTCGCCTAGACTTCGCTGCACCTGCCTGCCTGAAACAGAAAAATCCGAAAACGAATTGCCTCCCTCTGTCGCCTCTGCTGCTCATCGTGGATGTGTCTCTGTCCACCGCCCCAAGAGCGCCGCAGAAGGAAGGCGACTTTGGGGGTTCGCGCTATTTGCCCGCCATATCACAACAAGTGCAACATCACGTCAACTCTGAATGGAAGCATTCTTCAAGCAACTACATGTCAACACAAGTGCAATATAATCGGCATTATTTTGGTCTTGGGATCCTCCTTTGGTCTCGGACTGAGTATGCCCAACTATTCGGGCACCCCTGGCCCAGTTCGCCCTCAGCGTTTCGGCGTGTGGTTGGCCATCCTCTTCAGGACCTGCCACAACCAACCACACGGGGCAGGCCGACGCTGTCACGAACGACATCCCTGTTTCCTCTGGGATTCCTCCGTACACACCAAAGTTGCCAGAAGATGTCAAGCAAAGTTATTGGAACCTGCTGTTTTGGCCTTCAAAGAAGGGAGGGAACAACTGCCCCCTCTTTCGTGACACCGTCGGCACCTGGCGGACTGGCCGCAGGTGCCCCCTTTTTCCTTGAATGTCTGACCCCCCGCCCCCGTGACCAGAGCTCTGACTGGAGCACAGGACGGCGGAGCCGACTTCACAGCAGGCATGCCGGAATCTCTCTGCAACACGCGCAGGCATGCCGGAATCTCTCAGACTGATGGGAAAAGGCTGCGCCGCCGAAGACGAGCTCCTGGAGAGCTTCGGCTGGTAACCCGTTATTTGCCTGTCATATCACAACAATTGCAACATCATGTCAACTCTGAATGGAAGGATTCTTAAAGCAACTACATGTCAACACAAGTGCAATATAATCGGCATGATCTTGGTCTTGGGATCCTCCTTTGGTCTCGGACTGAGTATGCCCAACTATTCGGGCACCCCTGGTCCAGTTCGCCCTCAGCGTTGCGGCGTGTGGTTGGCCATCCTCTTCAGGACCTGCCACAACCAACCACACGGGGCAGGCCGACGCTGTCACGAACGACATCCCTGTTTCCTCTGGGACTCGTTCGTACACACCAAAGTTGCCAGAAGATGTCAAGCAAAGTTATTGGAACCTGCTGTTTTGGCCTTCAAAGAAGGGAGGGAACAACTGCTCGAGAGGGGCAGCCGTGGTTGAGGATCCCCCCTTCTTCGTCCTCCAACAGTGCCCCCTAGACACCCACAAGAGGGCCTCAAGAGAGTCCAAAGAGGGCCCCAGAGACGACAGGTGGCCCGCGCAAGCTGCCAAGAGGCCCCCGAATCGAAAGATTCGCGAATGCGTGTATGATTGACTCCCGGGCCTGCTCAGGCGGATTCCGATCTTCGGTTTGCCAGCTGCTCCCTCTCATTGCGTGCTACCACGTTTCCTTGACCCATGCAAGTCGCCTGGACATCGCTGCTGGATGTGCTGGCGTGAATGCGCGAAGCGTCAAGAAGTGTGCAACCGCTTCACAGATGAAGGTGGGATCCTTTTCACAGCAGCGGGGCTGTCGCTGAGCACTTCTTCGAACTTTCTGACCCATCTTGTCGCATTTCTTCTCGAAGGGCGGGGAGCAATTCCAATGAGGAATTCCCGCCTTGCTTGCAGGGCCATGAGGTGATCGACTTTGACGGCGGGGCCCTTCACGCAGCGAAAGGAATGCTTGTAATGATGGGGGGGGCTTGGCACGGGAGGGCGCGCTGCAATACAATGGATACATGTTGTGCCTACTCTGGTTCTCCTCCTCCTCGACCTCTTCATCTTCCTGTCCTGCTTCTCTGCCTCTCCCCCCCTTTCGGCCCCCCCATCATCACCTGGCCAACCCCTCGCGGCTGCCGCCACCCCGCGAGGCATGCTGCTGCGCGGTCCCCTCTGAGTGGACCCGGCATGCCCCTGCTGCCTCTGAGCTGGCCTGCGCAAGCCCTACTTTTAGACCGATTATGCTCCGCTGCTGCGGGCGTGGCCGCGACACCAACATCTCCACATATACCTATACATATATATAGAGAGAGATATACACAGATACATACATCTATATATATATATACAGGGAGAGATGTGTCTGAATGCAGATGTATGTGTATGTGCATATAGATGCACGTAGATGTGTGCGTATATGCTTGTATGTGTGTATGGTCATGTGGATGTGCATGTGTGATTGTATGTATGTACGTATGTATCTATGGATGGATGGATGGATGGATGGATGGATGTATGTGTGTATGTATGTTACGTGTATGGATGGATGGATGGATGTAATCTGTATGTATGTATGTTTGTTTGTTTGTACGTATGTATATACGTATGTTTGTATGTATGCATGCATGCATTTATGCATGCATGTATGTATATATGTATGTGAGTATGGATGTACGGATGTGTACGTCTGCAGGTGTGCATGGTTGTGTATGTGTGCATGCATGCCCGCATGCATGTGCATGTGGGTATATATATGCATGTATGGATGGATGGATGGATGGATGGATGGATGTGTATACGTCTGCTTGAATATACGAAGATATACCCACATACATACATACATACATACATACATGCATACATACATACATTCATACATACATACATACATACATACATACATAATTACATACATGCATGCATGCATACATACATACATAACTGCATACATACATTTACACATATGTATGTGTACACATGTGTATGCAGAAGGCCCCAAGACGGCCCAAGAGGTCCCCAAGATGGCCCGAGAGGCGCCCAGGACGGCCCAAGAGTGCCCACAGACGGACCTCAGAGGACGCCCAGATGGGGAACCCGAACGGACATTTTGAGCCCTCGGCCCCGAGAGCCCCTCAAGAAACCCCAGGAGGCCCCCAAGAGGTCCCCAAGAGGCCCCCAAAAGGCTCCCCAACAGGCCCCAAGAGGATCAACAGGCCCCAAGAGGATCCCAAAGGCCCCCAAGAGGCTTCCAAGTGGGCCCAAGACTGCTCCCAAGAGACCCCAGAAAGTGCCCCGAAGAGACCCGAAGAAGCATCCCTGAGAACTCTGACCCACACGCAGGCACGGTGGCGGGATGGGCCGAAGGCCACCGTATATATATATATATATATATATATATACATACATACATATACATATACATATACATATACATATACCTATACCTATACATATACATATACATATACATATACATATACACGCATAGATAAATACGTGTGTATGTACAGATGTATATGGGCATACGTGTCCAAATATATGAAATCTATACATACATACATACATACATATATATATACATCTATACACACCAATACATACATACGTACATAAATCCGAATGAAAGGGCTGAACCGAACGGTCATTAACTGTCCTTGGGTGCGTGGCTGAAATGGAACTCCGCGATGCGGATTATTGTTGTTGCTGTTGTTGTGTGTTGTTTGTTGCGTGTTGTTTGTTGTGTGCTGTTGTCGTCGTCCCACCCGCGACCTGGCCCGCGACCCACCCGCGACCCACCCCACAACCCACCCGCGACCCACCCCGCGACCCACCCCGCGACCCACCCGCGACCCACCCGCGACCCACCCGCGACCCACCCCGCGACCCACCCGCGACCCACCCACGACCCACCCCGCGACCCACCCAAAATTTTCGGCGCCCGCGGCGGGTTTCTATTGCATTCGTTCCAGGTGGAAAACCTGCGACCCACCCGCGACCCAAACCGCGCCCGCGACCCACCCGCGACCCACCGCGACCCACGCGCGACCCAGCCGCGACCCACCCAAATGTTCGCCGCCTGCGCCGGGTTTCCTTTGCATTCGTTCCAGGTGGAGAACTTGCGGCCCACCCGCGACCAAAACCGCGATCAGTGTACAAATCAAAATGTTCGGCGCCTGCGGCGGGCTGTTTGTGAACTCCTTCTGGATGGAGGTGGAGAGCCCCCAACCCACCCGCGACCCAAACTACGTTCACTGAACAAGCCAAAACTTCGGCGCCTGCGGCGGGTTTCTTTTGCGTTCGTTCCAGGTGGAAAACCTGCGGCCCAAACCGCGCTCAGGTTACACATCAATGTGTTCGGCGCCTGCGGCTGGCTGTTTTTGCATTCCATCCAGGTGGAGGTGGAGAGCCCGCGACCCACCCGCGACCCAAACTACCTTCACTGAACAAGCCAAAAAATCGGCGCCTGCGGCGGGCTGTTTGCGCATTCGTTCCGGGTGGCCCACTAGCGATCCCCCCCGCGCTGAACATGTCAGAGCACGCAAATCGGCGCCTGCGGCGGGTTTGCTTGCATTGGTTTGGGAAAGCGCCCTCGTGCCATTCCCCCGATCTGGCCCACGCTGACTCGACAACAGCACATCGGCGCCTGCGGCGGGGCTGTGTCTGAACACGTGCATTGACAATCAGCTGCCTGCTGCAATTCGGCATCCGTGCCCAAAGCCTAGGTTCAGGGGAACCTGCCTCAAGGCGCCCACGATTGAAGGGCCTCGGGGCGCTCGAGGACCCTCCTGAAGGGGGCGTCCACGAACCCTACCACACAGCACGCCAGTGCCGCCCAAGCGCGGCGGCGGAATTTGCATGCCGTCTGAACCCCCCAAGACCTCTTCAAGCTCCGCTCATCCACACCAACCCATCCAGCAACTTTACCCTGGCGAGTTGCCTGGATCAGAGAAGCCGGGGAGCATTCAGTGGAACAAAGGATAAGTTTGCCGTTATCTTAAGAAAGAAAAGCGAGGCAGAGTAAACAGGGGACGAAGAGGACGCGGAAGAAGAGAGGACGCAAGGATAATGTGGAAAAAGAAGAGGAGGAGGAGGGGGAGGAGGGGGAAGAGAGGGAGGAGGAGGAGGAGGAGGAGGAGGAGGAGGACGAGGAACATCAAGAGGTGCGAGGCGGAGGGTGTGGAAGCTACGTTGACCTGTGTTAGGCTATCTGGACAGATTTCGGAGGGCACCTTCACCTGGCAGACGCAAGCTGAGGAGGAGGAGGAGGAAAAGGAGGAAGAGGAGGAGGTGGTGGAGGAGGAAGCGGACGACGACGACGACGACGACGACGACAACGATGAGGACGAGGACGCGGACGAGGAAGAGGAGGAGGAGGAGCAGGAGGAGGAGGAGGAGGAGGAGGAGGGCGCCATCGACAGGGAAGGTGAGGGCCACGAGGTCCGCCGGCTCGACGCCCGCGTCGCCCGCGCCCACCCCCTCACTCCGCAATTGCGGGGTGCTACATACATACAAACAGATAGACATGCATGCAGATATCGATTTTTACACACACACACACACACACACACACACACACATACACACACACACAAACACACACACATATATATATATATATATATATATATTATAGATACATGTATAGGGAGAGAGAGAGAGGGGGGGGAGAAACAAAAACAAACAAAAAATAAAAAAACAGAGGGAGAGAGACCCCCCTGGAAAGTCGCGCCGCGCCCCGCGCGCGGCGGCCTGGCCCGTCTTGCTGGCGTACATCCGCACGATGTTCCGGTTGATCTGCAGGATCTGCTCCGCCTCGACCTGGAGAGCACCAGCTCCTCCCGCTCCCGCCCCCCCCCGCTTCCGCCTTTCTCCTGAGCCGCCCCTAGGGGGCCACATGCGAACCCCACCCTCCCCCTCAGAGTCATTGTGGGGTAGGGGTAGGGTTCGTATGTGGCCCCCTACGCCCCTGGCACGCGGAGCGCGCCGTGGAGGCACCAGTGCAGACCTCCAACAGTGCACGCTGCACTCTCGAGGACGGGCACTGGGGACGAGGGAAGCTCCAGGGCACCTGGGAGTCTTGAGCAAAAGAGGAGGGTGTATCGAGCGGGAGCGTCGTCGTGTGCGGGGGCGGGGCCGTCTGCGGCGCCGGGGCGGGAGCGCCGGTCCTGAATAAAAACAAAACAGATCGAGCGGGAGCGCCGGTCCCGAGTAGAGAAGGAGGAAGCAGCATCAACAACAACGACAACAATCATCTTAAGACTGTTCGCTCTCGTCTGCTCGAATGTCATGCAACGCCCTTACATTTTCGATCGTACCCCCTTTGGGGGGTAGATCTTTCTTCCTTGCAGGCAGGGCACCGGCGAGCGGCGGGACGGTCGCGGACCGTCGGCCTCGCCAGCGGCAACGCTGACTGGCGGCAACCCGACCCCAAGAGGGACGGACAGGGGACCGACCACGACGACGATGACGACGACGATGACGATGACGAAGACGACGAGCGAAAGCGAGAACGAGAGCGAAAGCGAGAGCGAGAGCGACAGCGGGGCCACGAAGGGCAGTGATGGGGCCACGAAGGGCAGCAAGGGGGCCACGAAGGGCGACAGCGGGGCTACGAAGGGCATGCGTATGGGGCCGCGAACGGCGCGAACGAGCGGGGCCACGAAGGGCAGATAATGCGAGGCCACTGAGGGCAACGACGGGGCCTCTGAGGGCAGCGAAGGGGCCACGAAGGGCAGCGAGGGGGCCACGAAGGGCGACAGCGGGGCTACGAAGGGCATGCGTATGGGGCCACGGCGCGAACGAGCGGGGGCCACGAAGGGCATACATAGAATGGGCCGCAGAGGGCAACGACGGGGCCACTGAGGGCAGCAACGGGGCCACGAAGGGCAGCGAGGGGGGCACGACGGGCTGCAACGGGGCCACGAAGGGCAGCGAGAGAGCCACGAAGGGCGGCAACCAGGGCCACGAAGGGCAGCGAGGGGGCCACGAAGGGCTGCAACGGGGCCACGAAAAGCAGCTAGGGGGCACTCCCTCCCTTCCCCCCTCCCTCCCTTCCCCCCTCCCTCCCTTCCCTACTTTCTCCCCTGCCATTCCTCCTTGTTGCTCCCTTCCTCTCCATCCCACCGAATTTCTCACCCGTCCCCAATGGAGAGGTTCGGGTTGCCATTACTGAAGGGGCTCTGCGGGGCACCCAACGGCCTCGAGGAGTCCCGGGGGCTCCGGGGGGCGCACCTCCGCAGTAGGGATCTCCGCCCGTGGCTCCGCTCTCAACGTGCCACCCTTCTCCATCCCACCTGTCCCGTCCCTCCTCCCTCGCTTCCCCTTCTGTCAGAGGGGGCCGCGTCAGCTACAGCCGTCGTGCCACCAGGAGGAGCGCCGAACAGGGAACGAGAGGGGGCTGTTCTGGCTGCGGCGAGCCTCGGCCACAAACAGTTTCCAGAGCATGAGGCTAAGGAACGGCCCGAGAACCAGAGCCAGTCCTGAGCCCCAAGGGCCTTATGTCAGCGTCTCGACTGCACACGTACCAGGTAAGGAAGGCATACCCCTAAGGGGGGTTCGATCAAAGACGAGGAGGATGGGTATAGAGGGCTTGGGATATGCATGTTCAGTGACACACGAGCAGATAAGAACGAACAATCCGAAAATGACGGTTGTTGTCATCCTCCCCAACGCGACACCTCCGCGACCCACCCGCGAAAGCCATGCCTTTTGATGCTATCCTGCGGGCCAAGTGGCGCCTCGCTCGCGAAATCCGCATGATCCAGAGGCGACGATGCCCATACATGTTCGGTGAGATCTGCCTGCGGGGGAGCTCAACTCGGAGGTTCGATGCCTGGAGTTCCCGCGCCGAACACCTCCTTCACTTCCTCACGTCCTTGCTCCCTACATCCTCCTCCTCCTCCTCCTCCTCCTTCTCCTCTTCCTCCTCCTCCTCCTCCTCCTCCTCCTCCTTCTCCTCTTCCTCCTCCTCCTCCTCCTCCTCCTCCACTTCCTCACGTCCTTGCTCCCTCCCTCAAAATCGGTCTCTACCTCATGTCGGGCGCGTGATCTGGCCAGCATCTCGAGGCGGATCCGGGCACGGCGACGAGGGCACACCAAGGAAATCGGCAAGAGACGGAGGATGCAAAAATGCCGTCGCTTCGGCCCCACATCCCTCTGCCTCCCCGTCCTTCTCCCCCTCCCCTTCCCCCCCATCCCCTTCCTGCCCCCCCTGCTGCTCATTCCCCTTCCTTCCTCCTCCTTCCTGGTCCTCCTCCTTCCCCCATGACTTGTTCCCCTTTCCCCTGCTGCTCATTCCCCTTCCTTCCTCCTCCTTCCTGGTCCTCCTCCTTCCCCCATGCCTTGTTCCCCTTTCCCCTCATCACTCCTCCTGCGGCTGGCCAAGGGCGCCGCGCCACGGGGCAGGCGCTCATGCCCTGAGCCTGGCCATCCGCTTCTCCACCTCATCCCTCCCCCTTCCCCCCATCAGCATCATTTCTCCTCCCCCCTCCTCCCATCCTCCTCCTCCCCTCCTTCCCCAAGACACTCGACAGACTCATCCGACAATGTGCGTCGTCAAGGTATCCTCCTCCCTCCTCCCTCCTCCCTGACTCCCTCCTCCTCGCCGCGAGGGAGGGGGGGCCTTGATGTCCTCGGCCTGGCCCTGCGCGCCGCCCATGGCCTGGTGCAGCATCACGCGACTGTGCGGCAGGGCGATGCGCTTGCCCTGCGCGCGGAGACGGCGGCGACGACGACGATGGCGACGACGACGACGAGGGAGGGATACCCAGAAGGCTAGTAGGCATCGGGGGAAATATGCCTCCCTTCCCCCCCCCCTCCCGCCCCGCGCATCCCTTTTCCCCCTGTCCCTCCAACCCTAGCCTCGCAGTTGCATCCCCCCTGCTCTCCCTCCCTACGTTTTCCTCCTCCTCCTCCCCCTCCTCCTCCTTCTCCTCCTTCTTATCCTTCTCCTCCTTCTCCTCCTTCTCCTCAACCTGCCCCCCCCCCCATTTTGGCTCAAGCCATTTTGGCGCATGCAATCCACAGCGGGCGCCCCTTCGGCTCGAGCCGGCTTGCCAAGCGTGTCCGAAGGGTGATGGCGGGAGCTGCTGCAGAGCGTGAGATGGCTAAGGGACCTGCCCCTTCCGAGGTGGCGTGGGGGGGCTGCTCGGGCGGAGAAGTGTGCGCGGCGGGCCAGGACCGTGGCAGCTGCTGACGGCGCGGCGCGGCGGGCCAGGAGCGCTGCCGCGCGCCTGGCAGAGCGGCTGCAAACTGCGGAGGAGGCAGGTCAGGTCAGGTCGGGCAGCAGGCGCGCCAGCCCACGACACGGCGCCCTGGGCGACATGGGCCTCACTGTGCTGCCCGCCGTGAGGAGGAGAGGAGGAGGAGGAGGAGGAGGAGGAGGAGGAGGAGGAGGAGGAGGGAGGAGGAGGAGGAGGGGGAGGAGGAGGAGAGGAGGAGGAGGAGGGAGGAAGGAGAGGAGGAAGGAGAAGGGGATGAGGAGGAAAAACAAGGAGTATAGGACGAGGACGAGGACGAGGACGAGGGACGAGGACGAGGAGGAGGAGGAGGAAGGAGGAGGGAGGAGGGAGGGGGAGGAGGTTGAGGAGGAGGAGGACGAGGAGGGAAAAAGGAGGGGAGAAGGGGGAGGAGGAGGAGGAGAGAGGAGGAGGAGGAGGATTTTTTTTTCACTGTGTGCGATGCCATGCCAAACTCCGAGGCGGGTTAAAACATGGTAGCAAGAAAATTGGGTGCAGGAGCTACTAAGTGAACAGCTGCATGACTGAGACTACCGGCTAGAACTGGGCGCCTGCAAGGCTGATACTACTGGCATGAGGGTGGAAACCTCCGCCAGGACCAACCGAGACGCCGCACTCAAAACAGGTTCCACCAGCCACGGCTTTGCGCGCAGAACTTCTATCACCTCGACGCCATCAGAAAACGGCGGAGCAAAGCACAGTCCGAGATGGAGGGCGCCCTTGCGCCCACATCAAAACTCGAACCCTCAGGCGTCTTCGCGCCCAATTGTAAAGATCCCGTGGCAACGTCGGGTCGTGAAAAATGCTGCAGTGTCCCTGCCGAGCCCTCCGCCTCACCCGAAGACGAATGTGCTACCGCCTGATCGGGGAGCGCCTCAACCGAAGGAAGCGGCTCCAAACCAACCACATCAGAGCATTCATCTGGGCGAGCCCCGGACACGGGCTCAGCCGAACACGAAAAGTGCAAGCGAGCCTCACGAAGAGTCTCAGCCGAAAGGCGAGCCTCACTAAGAGGCTCAGCCGAAAGGCGAGCCTCACTGAGAGGCTCAGCCAAAGTTGGGTTGCCTTTCTTCTTCCTGTGTCTCTTTCGCCGAGCCTTTACCTCTTCCTGGGCGGGGTGCGCACGATACGGGCCGGCGGAGGCGGCGGCTGAGGCAACTCCTGCAAGCCCAGCTTGGCCTCCTCCGAACGGGCGTCCTTCCCCGCCTTCTTCTTGTGCTTGCGTTTCCGGGGGCGCCGGGATCTTTCCGCCGAAGGAGGCGCAGGCGGAGCCGGGATCACTATCACTTTCGTAGGAGCCCTCGGAGCGGCCGGAGGCTCCGGAAGAAGCACACTGCTCGCCTCCGGAACTGCTGGCGATGCCGGGGGCCCCGCGCAGGCACCTTCGAATTTCTCCTTCCTCATCGGGGCCGAGAATAGAGCCGTCGCCTGCTTCGGGTTGGACGTAGCCGAGGCCGCCGGTGCCGGAAGCGGCGCCGGCAAGAGATGCTTGCCGGCCGCCGGAGCTCCAGCAGCCTCCCGCTGGCGGTCCCACCTCCGCAGGCGTTTTACCAGCTACCCATCCGCCTCCATCTTCATAGCAACGGGAGCCGGAGTCACCGGCAAAGGGCGCCTCAGAAGATGATATGTCTCCTGGTCCACCACGTCGAACGGGCTCACCACCTCGCTCCAGTTGCCGGGCGGGGGCTCCATGGCAGATCACGAAATCCACCTGCCTCACACCAAAAGCTGAACAGAAACGCGAGAGACGAGTGCCCAGCTCCTCACCTAGCAAGTCGTCGGGAACGAGGAAGCGAGCGTGAATGGGCCCCTCGTTCAGGTCAGAAGCCGTACCCGTGAAGCGCACAGCACCGGAGACGATGCGGCCGGGCGGAAAGGAAGAAGTAAAGGAGGGTGGCCGGGCGGCAGTGGGGGGCCAGCTCGAGC